ATTGTCATCACTAGACAGCTAATTCTTCATCTCCATCTCTTCTTCATCTTCTCTGGTGAGTACCCATTTAAGATTGTTTTTTTGTTTTTTTTTAACTCTTAAGAGATTAGAAAATTGTTAGGAACATTGCAAGAGTGTGGGAAGGGTTTAAAATGCAAATATATATCTATATATAAATACTAAAATAAACTACCACTACTACTACAGTACATAATTTTGTTCCATCTCATGTACCCCATGAGATGGTAATGACAATAAAGTCTACTTGAACTACTGTATCCCTACTTCACATTTATTTCACTTTTCGCTGAGGAGCCAGGTTACAGAACACCCGCAATAAACGAGGGACTACTGTGATTAAAATATAAAGGCTTATGATTTAGTGCAGTAAACAGCCCATTGCGATATTGATATTGCGCTGATGATAAATTTGCACTACAGAAAACAACTCAACAGCTTAAAGCTTGTGTCGCCATAAAGCTCATGCTTTTGTTGGTGTTTGTGCTCAAGAAAGGTTCAAAACAACTCCTATTTCAATGAAAATTAAAACTTAAAAAAAAAAATAACATACTAGAAGTTTTCTGTTGTTCACTACAAAAAGCTAATTCTGTGTCATTGCTGCAGAGCTACCTCTAGTTTGTGTGATTTAATGTTTTTGTGTCAATAAGGGCAAACAGATGTGTGAAAAGTGGCAAAATTAACCACCAATCAGCCTTTTTAAGAATGATCATTTACTGGGAAATATTTACCATCATCAAGACTAAATTAACACATGTGAAACAAACTATAAAGCCAAGCACCCATCACACACTCCCTTTGTTTACCCTCCCCCCTGAGAGAAGTTCTGGAGTCTGAACTGCTGAGGTTAGACTGTTTGACAGAAACGTCAGCTCAGACCTTAAACTAGTGTTTTATTCCTCTCTCTTCGGTAGCGGTGACCACACTGAAACACTGCACAAACAAGTCTTTGTCTTCCGTGGACTCGCATGGTAGCAAAGCAACGCTGATCTAACTTACTGCAGCTTCTCCACGTGGCCCCAACTACATCAGAGGTGAAAAATCACATTGGAAGGGAGTGGAAAAATCTAAAGAAGCTGGAGGAAATGAGCAAGAAGCCAAGAAAAACTCAGGTTTCTTTGCTTTTGTTATCAAGAGCTTTACTGAAGAAGCCCCAAGTCTGGTGTCTTATTCCTGTCATAATCTCAAAGTCTGTGCTTTAAACTCGTACGTGAAACAGCACTGTAATAAATGACTTCAACACACAGCAGTGTCTAGAATAACAGTAGAAGCAATAAACAGGATAAGAGCAGAAGCATCCACACTCAGGAAGAATCCACACTGACAGGAAGTGTTTCCTGGTACACTGTGGAGAAACGTCTTCCTGTAATCCCACTAAAAGCTCCACTTCTGTCAGACCCTGAAGCATCAACTGTCTGCTGGTACGATCATTTGATTCAAATGTTTTAGATTAGGTTAACAGTTTAATTTGTGAAGGCGTGGAAATGTCCCAATATATCAAGCGGACTTAAAAAGTGTCACCTCCCTCCCTTCAAAACGCACCACAGAATACTGTACCAAGAATGCAAGGAATGCCAAGTGTCAGGATAAAAGGCCCCTGACACAGGGCCCCTTTCAATCTTTGGACACATGGCTTCAATAAAGATAAGAAACTAGAAGACTGCCAGCCAAATGTAGTCAATTCATCCCAGGACCAATTACTTTTGCCTGATTAAAAAAAAAAAAAAAAAAAAAAAAAAAAAAAAGACGCTTTTACCCAATAAAATTTCATTATGAAAAATGGTGACTTAAAACATTAACTGTGTGACGATGTGTACGTTTAGGCAAACTTGAACGTCTTCAATGGTTGCACGAGCATGAATGTTCTAACGTTTCAACCAGCTCGGTGAATATGTTGCAAGAACAAACATGGTTCTTCATGTGAAGGGAACGTAAAACCCTTTGTTGTGCTTTCAGTTGTTTGCCTGGAAGCCAAGACACCAGAGGTACGCACAGGGTTGCCAGCAGGTCACGCTGATCCTCACAGGGGGTTTTCTTCCTGAACAGATGTATACTACAGAGATTTGACAAAACAAACGCTGCCGAGGTCTGAGATAAATATTGAAAGGAGACAACCAGGGACCAGAAGCAGCTTTAAAATGTTTTTGTTTTGACAGTTCCAGCTTATTTTCTTATTCTAGATAACAAATAATGGAAAAGGGATTCTAGCTAGGGCGGCACGGTGGCGCAGTTGGTAGAGCTGTTGCCTCTCAGCGAGAAGGTCACCGGATCAAATCCCTGCCTGAGGATCATTCTGGGTGGAGTTTGCATGTTCTCTCCGTGCATGTGTGGGTTTTCTCCGGGTACTCCGGTTTCCTCCCACTGACCAAAAACATGCATGTTACAATGATTGGTAACTAAATTGTCTCTAGGTGAGAGAGAGTGAATGGTTGTTTGTCTTATTACTCTCCGTGAGTCCCTGTGATGGACTGGAGACCTGTCCAGGGTGTCCCGCCTCTCACACAGTGACTGCTGGATATTAGCACCAGTGACCCCCGCAACCCAAAAAGAAAGAAGCGAGTAAAGATGATTGGGGGATGGATGCAACTATAACATTTATTTATGATTTGACAACGTTTTAAGAACTTGTAGAGAAATATCAGGCATTCTGGGTAAATACAACCAAAACAAACGTGCATTTCTACCAGTAGCGGGAGGAATGGCTCGTGGTGTAAATGCCCTCATACAAATATGGTCAGACGAAAATGTTTGTCACATGTGCCACAAACAAAACAAAAATCCTAAAACCAATCAAATTTGATGCCACTCCATTTTTGTTTATATTTCCAGAATAAGTAAGTTGCGCTTAGTGTCTTCTTCAGAGGTTTTCATGTTGTTTCCTTCAGTAGTTCTTGGTGCAGCGCAACCACAGGCGAGGGGGGGGGGGACAGGTTGCTCAAAGGGTTTGACTCGATTGACTCAGTGCAGTGTGAATGTGAACTGCACCAGCTGAAAATGTAACAAATGTTCTGAATTTTGGTCCCAATCGAACCGAGTCTACCAGACTATCAGGTGTGAAAACACACAATTGTGTAGAAATGGAAGACCTAATGGGAGCATGACAAAATCTTCACCTTTTGTGAGTTTGTCCTGTTTAAATACTTTTGGGAAAGGACATTTTATAATTTGCATCTTTTTAGTTATGGTTTCAAATTTTGCTGTTATTTAGTTTATTTCTTTATTTTTTTCCTCCATTCAAACGTCCCACCTGTTAACAACAAAGTCCATGCTCAATAATCCAGATATACAATCCAACATTTTTTCAGTCAGGTCATCTGGACGGTTTCTTTTTTTGTGCTGAAACGTTTCGCCTTCGATCCAGAAGACTTCATCAGTCAAGGAAACAACACAAAACTGATTCTTCCCCCAACAGCTTACTCCAAAGTGGAACAAACCAGTTTTGTTGGTGCCAAGTTGGTTTCTTTGGTACGCCCCCTCCTCCATTGCCGGCCCTCTTCCTTGTTGACAGTCATGTCAAACTGGTTGAAAACAACAAAGTGGAACTGGTTTGTTCCACTTTGGAGTAAGCAGTTGGGGGAAGAATCAGTTTTGTTGTGCGTTTCCTTGACTGATGAAGCCTTCCGGATCAAAGGTGAAACGCTTCAGTACAAAAATAGAAACTGTCCAGATGACCTGACTGAAAAATGTTGGGTCCCACCTGTTATTTAAGACAACAAAAGCTAAAAGAATGATCAATTCATCACAATGCCCAGGTGGTAGAAATGTGCACTTTAAATTCCATCTTTTGGATTCTTACAGAATTGCTTGCTCATTGTGGTTCAAACTCTGGTCTTCTAAACATGAAGTGGTCACTACTTGTCATTTATTAATAATTTAGTTTCAAGACAAGGCTACTTAAACACACTTGATAGTCTTTGTATAATCTTCTCATTTTTTGGCTATTTTTGTTTGTGATATTGCATTAAGAGGAGGTTACAGCTACTGAACAGTTGAAACAAGATAAGGCAGAAAGATTTTTAATGTGCCTTTCCTGATTTTTTTCAACTAATGGCTGAATAAACTATACCCCTAGTAAGATTATTTAGGTCTAAATCCCTATTAAAATTTTAAAGCTTCTCTCCCCCCCTTCAACATGATCCACAACCAAAATACTACAATGCTTAATTACATAAAATAATGTTTGCCAATACTTTTATACTTTGCAGTTTAACATGGGTACCATAACATAACATTTGTATGCCTCTAAAAAGCTGGCGTCAATAAACATACCATAGAATGCTGCATAAAGAAAAGTTTTGCAGAGAGTGGTGAAGGCTGCACAGAAGTCTGTTGGAGTTAGTCTTCCCACCGTCACAGACATTTACACATCTAGATGCAGGAAAAGGGCCCCCTGCATCATGAATGACCCCACTCACCCAGCACACACACTTTTTGCTCCGCTCCCCCTCAGGAAGGAGGTTGAGGAGCATAAAGTGTAGATAATTTTGTTCCACCACATGTACCACATGGGGTGTGAATGACAAATAAAGAAGCTTGAATCCTTGAAAAAGGTATTTTAAATCAAATTACTTTTCCTTTTTCTTCTGTTAATTTAATGATTACCTTTGCCATTGAAAAGCAACTATCAGTCATTATTTCACAGTTAACGAGGCTATAAATACAGTGCTACACGCTGAGACATCAGCTTTGAACAAAACAGGAAAGTTAATTGATAAAATAAAACATGAGTTAAATCAAGTTGGGCGCTTTTTGGTTGCCACCGCACACGCCACGCCAGTTAAAACGTTAATTATATTTAATGTTCAAAGCTAACCTGACCGGTCATGTGTTATCTTACAAACATTTGCCAAAAAAAGTTGCAATTTGAAAGTCAAACAAAGTGGCTTGGCGTCTGTGTCCTCGCGCACGCTGACGAAGCCTCCACAAACACGAGTTTTTCTTAAAAAACTACGAAAAGTTAATTTAAACTTTAGTGAACTTACCGATTCAAGTCAGAAATACAAGCTAACGCTCTTCTGGAGTCTCCTGGTGTCGTCCTCCGAGAACTTTGAGGACTTTTTACCACAGCTTCATTCTTCAGAGTCACTTTCCCATTGAATTCATCTATCAAAGTTTAACGTTCGCTTCAGGACGACGTAATGCTAACGTCGCACAGCACGTACACAGGAAGCTGTACCTTCAAAGTAAAAGCACATCTGTTAAGTGAGCATCTATTTCCGGTGCCGGGACAATCCGAACAATGAACTTATTTTCTATGAGATTTCAAACATTTCCTGCAAAATAAAAAAAACTAATTAAAAAAAAGAAACTATTGTTTGGTGGTAAGTTTGTTGTATGGGCATCTTATCAGCGTGTTTTATTTTTAAAAGTAACAATAATAATTAGACAAACTGTGAAAAGACTAAATTGTTAAAAGGGTAACAAAAAAGATGTCAAATATTGCAATAAGTTTAAATCTAAACAGATGTATAAAGCACATCAAGGGAAGCAGAGTGTTTTAGATATACAACGGTTCTTTCTCAGCGTTTAAACATATATAAATAATTTTGGAATTGTATATTTTTATGGAATAAATTGTTAATAACTTGAGAGAAATCTCTGTGAAACAAGATGAAACTCAATACTGTGTGTTTGTTCTCTTCAGGCTCTGAGGCAATGCTGCAATACAAACAGAAATTCTGTCAAAATAAGTCACTGAATAGCATGCACTGTATTAATGAAAATAAATATGCAAAAATGAGTTACTTTCAGCATGTGGTTATATATGGTTTTAGTTAAATAAAGTTTAGAGGAGTGGTGACTCAGAGATTAAGGGGAGTGGTGGCGCAGAGGCTTGAGAAGGGGGGGTCTGTGATCGGAAGATCGTCGGTTCAACTCCCAGTACCAACAACATCAAAATGTGGATGGAAACCACATAATAATGTAAACTGACATAATCTGTTTACATTCACAGCCAACCCTTTTCTGGATAATTACAATAAAGAAGGTTAATATTTTTGTTGGCACAACACTGTAAAAGTATTGAGTGACTTTTATATTTTTTATATTTAAAATGGGATATAAGTGTAGCAGTTTAATAAAACGTTAGCAAATATAAACAGTAAATCAAGAAAAACAAAATTTGGAAACGTCTAAAATAATGAGATTAATAAATCTTAAGAAAACCTAAAGAACCATTATTGAAAAAAAAAAAAAAGAGAACCTCACTTGAAGATTTAAAAAAAAACTCCATGCAGTGAATTGACTCTTTTGCACAATACATGCATGTATAGTACTGTATATGTGAAATGAAAGTGTAATTAAAGATGTAACAAAAAATAATGCTCACTTTTAATGATGGGAAAACAAACTATATTTTATATCTTGCTTTATTACTGTACATCATCTTGTTGCTCATATCTAGAAACAAAGAGTTTACTAAAATAAATTGCAATAACTCGGTAAATTTAACAGATATTGACCTAAAACTGGGTGCGGTATTACCGTTCACTGTTTGGAGTCAACTCATTTTATTAGCAAAATGTCTCATGAACCAAATGAAGAGATGTTAATAATCACTGGGTGTGGCTCTGAATAATGTTTGGAGACAAAACTTTTAGCATTAAAAACTGGGTGATATGCATTCCATTAATAATTGGTAGGTCTTAAATTTAAACATGATATCCAAACACAAGATAACAGTCTAGTTAAATGATTATTTTATGTTTTTATTTTTATTTTATCTTATCGTCTTATATTCCTGTGGATCAGACAAACATGCAGACAGCATGCAACAAGTGCACAAACACATGATGCATAAACTGTAAACATAAAGATAACACATAGCTTATTGTTCCAGATTAATATCAAGAATTGTTCTTACATGGCATCAGCAAGAACAGATGAAGCAGCAGCAAGTACAAGAACAAATTGAGCCTAAATCACATTAGACTGAGTGCAAATTAAAAGCCCTGCTATTAGCTCCAAAGGTCACATTCATTTTCAAGCCATTTTCAAACAATCACTTGTAATTTGTTAAAATATTAATATACAGTGCATCTCAAATAAATGCCTGCAGATTGTTCCACCAGCAGGGGGCGATAGAGCTGTTTGATCCTGAGCAAAAAGAGAGGCTTCTAAAGCAGAGGAGTTATAAAACAGAGTGTGTGTATGTGTGTACTACAGACATGATGTAACAGACTGGAGCACCGAAATAACCCATGCAAATTTGTTTTCTTCACCGAAGTCTGGAGAAAACAGCAACATGGTGGCGTTTGATTTAATGACAGTAAACATCTGTTTTGCTTGCAGAGAAGGTGATGCTGGTGTGGCAGGCTGCAGTGCAGCAAAATGACAGCGTGCTAAGATTAAACGTCCTGCAGCTAAAGAGTATGGAAAAGACATTGTGTGCCCTCTGCACAACGTCTGGCAACGTACACATGTCCTGCAAGTGTTAAAAAAAAAAGATCCTATCCTTGTTACTGTTTATTCCAACTTTCTTGTCAAATTTTTATTTCCTGCCATGAATTTTCTGTCAAACTGAGATGTTTGCTGGTTATGCCATAACATTGCCTTTCCAAACAAAATGTTTGAACACACTTTGCTCCATGACAAGAGGCTTCATCATCTTGACAAAGTACTACCTCTTTACTGAACCTGCTGTCCGTTAATGGGATGAGAGCGTGTCTACCGTTGAGTTTTCTGAAGAGGGAATAATTACCACCTTACATGTGGCTTCGTGTCATCAGGGACTGAAAGGTTTTTGTTCTGCGCTTCATTGGAAATGCATTAAACTGAAGCTGCAGCATCAAGTCAGGGCCGAGTGCAGCTTTATCTCTGAGCATGACTTTCATTGAATCCAGTCCAAGGTTAGTCAGACTCCTGCATTTCCTATCATCGGTTGTTAAAATCAAAAAGGATGATAACGATTTTAATTGGTCTGTGTGTTTGTCTAATAGCAAAATATCAAGGCATCACATGAATGAATACAACGGTCAGTTTTACAGACAATGAGCTAAAGTTGGATGTGGTAGTAGCTGAGAGTACTCCTGGACAGATTGACTGCTTGCATATTCAAGGTTTGACCAAAATGATTAACTCGTCATCTCTCATTGCAGATAAAGATAATCTTTGTTTTAAAGGGTAGTAGGCAATATGAATTACTTTAAAAATACTAGGGTTTAATATTTGTTCATGTTTTACTTTTTGCACCAGACAATTTTGATCATATTTGCTCTAAACTTTAAACCCAGCCACTATCACTAATCACATTCTGTGTTGAACATGCTCATATGAAGAGTTTATATTCTCACATTTAGTCGTAAAGTTAATAGCTCTTGTGTTGCCCTCATGTTTCCAACCAGCCTCAGGTGAAAACTTTTGATAAAGTCTGCAAATGTGTTGTTTTATGCACACTAATTTGCATGTTTGAGTTTGTTTTGCAACTTCTCGTTAGAAGGGGAGATTCTTTGGTTTCTTCACAACTGTGGTGCTAAATTTGTTTTCTCTACTTGAGTTGGAAAATTACTTTTATAATTTAATTGAATATTTTAAGTAGGATTTTTAAAAATGAGCATGCTAAAATAGTACGTTTGTGGAAAATTAGTGGTAGTTTTCCAAGAAATAGTAGCAGTCCCCAACATATACTACAACAGACAGTTTGAGGTGCTTGACTGTAAGGTGGTGGGCGATGTGTGTGTTCCTTCAGTGAATGGTATTTGATTTAATCTCAATCTTTTCTTGTTTTCTGTTTTTACCTCTTTAATAAGTTTAAATCAGGTGCCTGTGCTTTCAGATGCAAAGGATTATTTTCAAGTTCGTAGTGTGAACCATCTCATAAAAAATCCTCGAGCACTGATTTTAACACTGATTTTTCTGACTTTACTCTTATTTGTCGTCTTCTGAACAGAATTCTTCTTCTTTGATGGCAACAATAATGTTATTCTTTAAAAAGAAGTGCAGAAAAGGAGATCCTTTGAGAGGAGGACTGTATTATTGCAACAATTTACTTAGCAAAGTGATAAAAAATTAAATGAGACCGGTTTAAATTACAGTAGTTTGTGTGTGTGTGTGTGGGGGGGGGGGGGGGTGTCTTTTCACATTTGTTTAATAGTGAGGGAGTGGTGGCGCAGAGGATAGAGAAGGTGAGCCTGTGCTCGGAAGATCGCCGGTTCAACTCCCTAGACCGACATCAAAATGTAGGTAGGAAAGGTGAAGCACCCACACCTAACTCTCCACCCTCATTTGCCCCACTCTGGGCCCTTGAGCAAGGCTCTTAACCCCCACCATCTGCTCCCCCGGGCACTCTAGATAGCAGCTCTCTGCTCCACACAGAGGGCTGCGGTAGCTCGGTGGTCTGTGGTTGTGTCAGGAAGGACATCCTGTGTAAAAACAATCGTCAAGTCTTCGTGTGAGTTAGTTCACTGTGGTGACCTCTGAAGAAGAGAGCAGTCGAAATAAAAAGACAAAAAAAAAAAAAAAGGCTGAACAATTAGTTCATATAGGAACTAAAAAATAAAAATAAATTAAGCATGCAGGAGCTGCAATAAGTTAACATGCTGAAATAATAAAACACATTAAAGAATGATACAACGTTTAAAAAAGTTCTAAAATATGAACATTGTGTACTGTTGCCTCTCAGCAAGAAGGTTGCCGGGTTGAATCCTGACTTCTGAGTGGAATTTGCATGTTCTCTCCGTGCATTGTGGGTTTTCTCTGAGTACTCCAGTTTCCTCCCACAGACCAAAAACATGCATGTTAGACTGATTGGTAACTCTAAATTGTCTCTAGGTGTGAGTGAGAGAGTGAATGGTTGTTTGTCTCATTTGTCTCTATATGTCCCTGTGATGGACTGGAGACCTGTCCAGGGTGTCCCCCGCCTCTCACACAGTGATAGCTGGACATGGACACCAACCCAAAAAGGAAGAAGCGGGTAATGGATGAATGAACATTATTTAATTTTCCAACCAGGTTGAGTCAGGTCCTCTGGACAGATTCTTCTTTGTTGAAACATTTCGTCTTTTATCAAAAAGACTTCTTCAGTCTGACTGAAACTAAATCACTCGAAACATTTCAACAAGGAAAAATCCGCACAGAGGACCTGACTCAAACTTATGATTCACCTGGATCAGTGAGCATGCATCAGG